GGAAACTCTGAGACCATTTTCTCGAATAATCTATCATGTCAATCACAACCTTTCCTGGTCGGAAAAGTTCACCGTCATCCCCAAGTAGTCATGCTTGGGACCACGGTTGCCTTCACGGCTCCATAGTTCCATACCTAACGTTGAACCATTCCAAAGTCCGGTATTCACCACTTCATTCTTTGGCTTGACATTAGATCGTTAACATGGAATCGGATTGTTGTTGGTGTCCTTCGATCATTCGGTTGGCCCACAAGGATCGTATCTGGTTGAACACAAATCCAATTTGCTCCGAGGTCACTTCTGAATAGCTTGTACCAAAGAAGTGCTGCAAAAACCATGCCATAAATGGCTCTCTCCACGACAACATAGAGAGACAGGACGTCCCTTTTGTATGTCAGGAAAGAGGCATATGTGTCAGGATCAATTTCGACAAGTAAATCTGCAAGGGTTCCCTCAATGATCATGAGGACCCTGTCTTCACCTGTTTGACTTTGGCATTGGGTTTGGATGAACGCATTGGGAACATCCAGGACATCACATCCCTATCTTCAGATGCATCGACACACATGGATAACATCAAACCCTCAAGTGAAACTGTTGGCTTCTGGCATCTTCTTTCTGATGGTACACCCTTGTAGGTTTCCCATTGTAGACTGCACGGGCCTTGACCGTGCCATCCCTTTCTCACTCACAAACATGAGAGCCATTTGTGCCTTTTTCAATTCAGAATCACTGCATTTTTGGGTCGACTGGACTGAAACACACTCTGCTGTACGTGTAGCTGGTCCATCTCTTTGAGCGCCGGCTTTCTGGCTTTGTTGCCCCACACTTTCAGACCCTTGGTAGAAGATGCTGTTGGGCAGCTGCTTCATCCTTGATTCTGTTGGCACTCCTGTGATTGCAGGAGTCCATGAACAAGCTAGGTGCTTGTTGCTCTGTCTCATACAGTATGGTTGCTTCGCTTCTCATCTGTTGGACGAAGGTCACTCCCTTCTTTGCTTCGTCGTAGCAATCGAGCTAGGGACCTAATTCCAACCGAGGAAGCTTGGAACCTGGTGGCCCAGCGAGGTTTCTCAATCATTGTATCCACTCTGTGCCCGTCTCTCTCAAGCTGTAGGGTGTTCGGACCTGTGCTGTTGGGATTCCTTGGAACCTCTCTCCTTCTTTATCGGAGCAATTCTTGTGGCATACTTTGGATGCCCTGTACAGCTGGGGTTCCCATCCTCAGAATCCTCACTGATTCCAGATCCACGAATCTTAGTCCGAAGAAGTCCCAAAGACTTGGAGGTAGCCTCATTCCATTGACTACCATCCACCCGCAGGCTCAAACCTACAGGTAAAAACCACAAGTTCCGTTGTGAAAAGAATTATGGTGGGGCTTCTTACCCTCAACGTATGCCTTTTTTACGAAAGCATCAATGACTGGGCGAAGCGAATCGGCAGGATTCGGACATGCTGTTCGCGGTGATCACCTCAAAGGTGACAAGAGCCATAGTGGACTTTGGGGCAATGAAAAAGGTACCAAGTGCAGCTCCTGCTGACCTCTTCAGCTCTGGTGATGGTACCACCCTGAATGACAAAAACAGGGAGACTTACCATACCTTTGCAGCCAAGCTATTGTTTCTGTGCAAGCGTGCTCGACCAGATGTGCAGACTCTCACTACTGTGTTATGCACTCGTGTCAGAAGCCCAACATCTGATGATTGGGACAAGTTGGTCCAAGGCCTCAAGTTTTTGGATCAGACGGCGCAGGACAAGTTGATCCTACACATTGATGACATACTCATCATCACTTGGTGGGTGGATGCATCATTTGCAGTCCATCCTGATTACCGTTCCCATACAGGAGGAGTCATTCCCTTTGGAAGTGGGGCGGTGCTGTCTGTGTCTGCGAAACAGAAATTGAATTCGAAGTGGGGCGGTGCTGTCTGTGTCTGCGAAACAGAAATTGAAAGCACGGAAGCGGAATTGATTGGAGCTGACGATGTCATGTCGCCCATGTTATGGGCAAAGTTGTTCCTTGAAGAGCAGGGGATCGTTGTTGATGAATTGAGCAGTCACTCTCTGGCTGAAACAGACGGCATTACTAATGCTAAAAATCCAACATGGGAATTGTAAGCAGTGAATGGTTAAGTCGGTTTAGCTCAATGTGAGGCCCTGGGTTCGATTCCCGGGCATTGCAATCTTTTCTCATGTTGGTCGGGGATTTCTGAGTGGTATATCTCAGGAAAATCTGATCAGTTGTGAAGGACAACATCCTCATGCAGGACAACAAAAGCACGATCATTCTTGCAGAAAATGGCAAAGGCAGTTCGGGCAAAAGGACTCGGGCCATTAACATCCGTTTCTTTTTTATTCACGATCAGATTGGAAAAGGAAACCTCAGAGTTGTATATTGCCCAACTTTGGAGATGCGTGGAGATTTTTTCACGAAGCCCCTTCAGGGCAGACTCTTTCATGAGCACAGGGCTTTCATCATGGGGCATCCACCCCTTGTTTGATTTCCTAAATTATTTATTCGTTCCACGGTAGCCACTTAGGGCACCGTGCAGGAGTGTGTTGGAGGAAATATACCTGACACCTCTTTACTATTGACTCGTGTATTAATCATCTAGTCCGGTTCGCATGGAAATTCATCATGCAAGGAACCAAGGGAGTTTTAGGTCTAAAGTGTTGCGGGGGTCCTTATATCCAATTCAATCACAAGAATTGCTATGCACCACCAGAAAAACCTCACTTTTGCTTTTCAGCTTAATCTAAAACCAAATTACTCCCCAATAAGCTGCAGTATTACTAGCAAACAACACAAAGATCCCGGTTTGTTGTGTCCAGTGGGCTGCTTGGATGTATGGCGAAGGATGTGATGAACTCGAGGTGCCAAGGATTTGATAGGGCTGTTGATTGTGCCGGTACATTCTTGGTGAATCGATTGCCCTTTGACACCATTCTTTTGTTTGGGAATTTTGATGGTGGCACTGACAGCCGTGTAGAGAGTGTGGAGTGGTGCTGTGGAAGGGATGATGCGTCCATGTTTATCCCAGAAGGCAACGTCTTTGATGTCGAAAGGATGTGTGTGTTGTTTGGTTGACCGTGGTTTGGTATACTCACTGACTCTGAGCAAATAATAGAATGCTATGTTGACAAGATCAGCAGTGGCTTGATGATAGGCGCTGGCGTTGGTTGTGCGGGCCTTGTGGAGGAGGTGTTCGGGGAGGGTGACCGGAACGGCCAGGTGAGGTTGGGTGGGGGGATCATTTCGTCGATATCCCCTCAGCATGCTGCGGAGGGACTCCCAGTATTTGTCCGAGTCTTTTTGGTAGAGGGGGTTTGGGCGTGAGTCCATTTCGAAGGTCTTGCCAATGGCGCATAGCGCGTCCGAAACTGAGCCAGCTCTGACTGTGTGTCCTCTACCTGCGTCCCCTTGGCGGACATAGCGAGTGAAACCCTCGAGGAGTGCAATTCGTGCGTCGTGCGCAACTCCTGAGAGAAAAGGGTCCACTTGATGGAGTCCGGCGGTCCAGTGCTCCCAGTGAGCCCAATAGCGCAGCCGGACTTTTTGAGTCGCAGCCAACACCCCGTTGGCTGTGTCTCTCCGCGCAGAAGCGTAAACACGCGCGAGACGATCGCGTTGTGCAGGCGCAGCATGAGCCAGGAGGCTCCCTGGGTTAGAGGAAAATCAGAATTGAATTTGGTGAGAAACTCTGTGTCGGTGAGCTCAAAATTTCCTTCCACCCCAGTGCGTTTGAAAGAACGACTGGCCAGGTCTGCCAAAGGGTTGTCGATACCCCGAATGGAAAGGGCTGCCAAATGCGAAGACCTGTTGCGCAGCATTCGCAGAGCTAGAACTCGAGTGAATTGTTGTCCAATCATGGAGTGTTTTGAGCTCATCTTGGTGGTCCATGACACGGCCGAGGTGTTGTCACACCAGATGGCTACGTGCTGGAGTTCCAGGGGCACCACTTGTTCCAGAAGCAAGTACTGGAGGACAATGCCGGCCATCTCAAGGTCGTTGATGGTCAGGGCGCCACTGTCAACTCGGTCGACTATGTCTTGGGGCCACTTCAGGCGCCACACAATGGGTCTCAACGGTTTGAGTCCAGACATAAGGACGCCCCCGACCCCATATTTGCAAGCATCACAGTGTCCGATGTATGCAGGCAAGCCAGGTACAAGCTGCTGGCAGTGGATGGGGAAATCGCGGAGCTTTTCGAAAATCACTTGAAGATCTTGAAGAGCTTGGGATTGGGGGGATGCCGGGAAGATCCGAATGGAAGGACGGCGGGCTGATTTGGCTGAGCCCAAAGCTCGATACAGGGGGGTGAGCATAGCGGTTCCCCCGGGGATGCCAAGGCATGCGTGTTGGCACTTGCCGAGGAGAGACTCAAAGTGCTGGACATTCATGCGCTGTTCACGCAGGAGAGATCGAAGTGAATCACGGAGCTTGTCCACTTTCTTGGAAGGTAATTGGATGGTTCTGTTGAGGCCATCGAATACCCAACCGAGAATTTCCTTAACAGTGTCCCAGATTCCTTCGCCTTCCAAGATGAGTTTCTTCTCAGAGATTGGTTCTTCGCCGGCATGTCCTGTGGCTACAGGTGGTGGGAAAATTTGGTGAATGGCGTGCAGCAAGGCACGACTGTGGTGTCGCAGGGCATTTACATCGGTAGACTGAAGCAGACCGACATAGTCATCCACATAGACCTCGAATTGGTGGAAGAAACGATGCAGGTCTTCATCGTTCACTGTGGGAAGTGGGTCCATGGCCTCCTGTGGGTTGGCTGGTGCTGGTGGAGGTTGTGGCTGAGCTGGTTGGGGACCTGTGGGAGTTGGGCAGTCGCTCTGAGGGTTGTCGGTATCCGGAGATGGGTTGAGGAGGTCAGGATTGATGGGGTCCACCATGTGAGATTCCAGGGGGTGTGGGGGAAGGCGGGGCAATTTGCGAAGCCATTCTGCAATGTCCCGTCCTGTTTCTGTCGCGGCACAGAAAAAGGCAGGACTGGAGGTCCATCCCATTTGAAGGGCGGCTGGGACTACAAGTCGGATTTCCTCTGGAGGATCCCCTGGAACTTGGGGCAGGACGTAGCAAAACTGCTCTTCCTGGGCTTCTGGCACACACATGCGCCAGAAGCCATCCTTGATGTCCAATTTGCAAAACAAAATTGGACCCTGATCGGCTGGTCTGGTGCCGACAGCATAGATGATGCGGCCAAGGGTTTTTCCAAGTTGATCCATGGAATGTCGAGGCGCTGCATCTTCATTTGTGAGCTCGTTGACTGATTGGGGACCTTGCTTTCGTCGGCGTTGACCTTTGTTCGACAGGTCCAGCATCATTCGAAAGAGGCGGCTCTTGTGCGGGATCACCGCAATGGGACTAATTTTGGTGTGTGTCAGGAGACCTTTGGCAATGTTGGCACGGAGCGTTTTCCATGGCATGAGCTTGACGAAACCTTGATCGACTTTTTCCAGGGCTTCGGTGCGGCATGCCTGGGCGGCTTCGGCGGCTTCGGCGGATGGATGGGCGCCGTACTGCATGGCAGCGTCAAGTTCGTCCAAAGTCCAGTTTGCTGTGATGTCGACAGGACAGCCTGTTGTACCGTACTCTTTCAGTTGTGGGCCAGCCGGGTGGGCCTGGGCAAGGGGGCCGGGGAACATCAAACCACGCAGAGGAACATGAGGATTGGACTTACTTTGTGTTTGGGTAAGGATGCTGAAGACATCCTGAATGGTGGCAGGGGCAATGGTGTCAGTCAAAGTGGTTCGTAGTTGGCGGGTTGGGCCGGTGCGGCCCGGATGCTGGGGTGGCGGAACCTGATGCAGGCGACAAGCTGCCGGTCCAGGTGTTGGAGCGGTGGGAGCGGGTTGGTCTGGGGATGACGACGAATTTTGAAGGTGCTGTGTGGCTAGCGCCGCAGCTTGATTGTGGAGGTGGTGTTCACGGCGCAATCGTCGGGCGGCAGCTTGGGGAGGCGGGGAAGGGCGAGCAGTTGCCGTAGGCAGATGGCTGCTGTGGTTGGTGAAAGGACGCTGCCCGTGATGCGGGTTGTTGGGCTCTGCAGTCGAGGTGGGAGGATGGATTGGGTTGGGCGGGAGAATTCGGAGGCGTTTGTGTTGTTGTGTGATAGCATGAGTTGTGAGGTGAAGGGAGTTGTGCAGTCTCTTTTTAGTGATGGTAGATGAAAATGTTTGTTGTGTGATTTGGCTCAGATGCTCGGCTGTGGCTTGTGGTGGAGCAAGATTCTGAGGCGAAGGAGTGTGGTTCTGTCTCAATGTACCGGGTATTGGGTCATGTGGGGTGGTCTGTTGAGATGGAAAGTGTAGGTGTGTGTGTGGTAGTCAGTTGCAGGGTGGCTGGGTGCCCCTTAAACCAGTGGTCAAAAGAGCAGTCACCGTGTTGACTTGAGTGTCACCTACTGGACGAGGAGTGTGCTGTTTAGCGCAGGCTGAGCGACGGCAATTGCCGCGGAGTTGGAACATCCCACATTCGTCATTTGAAAATCCAAAGGTAGCAAGGCACTGTGTGGTGGAGCTACCCGCCTGTGTGAGCCAGTGCTGGATGCTCTCACTTTGGCGATTTGGTGGCACCGTGCGCCAGAACTCAGCCAAGTTGGCATGCAGCGCAGGGTTGCGCCGTTCGGTTGGGGCCTGGTCACGGCGTTGCTGCTGTGGGCGACGCTGTTGAGGTGGTTGAGCGGGCGGCCGAGGTGGCTGTGGAGGCGGCTGGGGGTATCCTGTCCCCATCCATGGTTGCTGCCACTGCGGCTGGGCGGGAAGCCCAGGCGTAGGGCTGACAGGGGACCAAATTCCTGGCTGAGGGGCCGGAGGTGCCAGAGGTGGGCCATCTGGGAATGTACTTCCCAGTTCTGCAGGTAGCCTGCCTGGATGCACTGTTGGGAAGACGGCCACACAGTTTTGGATCAGGCGGTCACTGTTGGGGTGCTTGTAAAAGTTGTACTGGCCTTGGAAAAGAAAGTCATTCTCTGTGAGCACATGGCGAAATTCCCCTTGTTGAACTTGGAGAAGGTGGTAGACAATTTCACCGGGCTTGAAGCTCATCCAGTTGGGGTCTTTCTCAAGGGCCACACTTTGTCCCTCATCGATGAGGTGGTCATAGATTTCGGCTGCAATGCGTCCAATCTCACAGTTTCGCAGAAAGTATCGACTGAAGTACTGAACCCGGAGGAGAAAGTTTAGGAGCTCGCTCATATGTTTGATCGGAACAGGTGCTGTAAGACTCAGCTTGCCAATGCTATTTGGGTTGAGCTGGAGGCGGTCCGCATTGTATGAGCGGTGGAGCTCATTGTGGGTTTGGATCTGCTCTTTGCTGCGTCGGATCTGATGGCCGACTAGGCCGGTCCACCAGCTCTCGGTGGAAGAGTGAGTGAATCGCATGTTGCATAAGTCCTCGACAAATTTCTCAGGATAGTCAAAGCCTTGAAAGGCAGGTCCTCCTTTTGTGCGGCGCAGGGCAGGCATGACATTTGCTTCGAACCAGCTGTATCGGCATTTGGGTTCGACGGCCAGGAGATTCATGAATTCTTGGTTGACAAAACCGGGAGCGACTGCTCGGCTGAATGTGAGCAAGCGCAATTTGTGATAAGTAGGTAGGGCATTGTACCCCGTGTCAGTGGACTGACGAGCCTGTTTGGCTGGTGGGGGGGGCTGTGACGTCCACACGTGGGGGTGTGCCATGAGGTTCAAAATAGAAGATGCGGGAGCGAAGATTGTTTTGGTCTGCCAGGGTGCTACTGGGGCGGTCGTCGTTGACTACCTCAAAGTGCACCCGGTTGGGAGGGGTGTGACGGCCAGGGCCGCTGGTTCCGGGTGAGTTTGGGCTGCCATTTGCGATGGTGCCATGTCCAGTTGCGGCACCATTTGCGATGGTGCCGGTCCCGGTTGAGGGGCCCTCATTGGTGAGGGGTTGAGAGTTTTGGCTGCCATTTGCGATGGTGCCAGCGCCGATTTGAGCACCATTTGCGATGGTGCCAGCGCCGATTTGGGCTCCATTTGCGATGGTGCCGGCTCCATTTGCGATGGTGCCATTCCCGTTTGAGGGATCCCCGTTTGTGAGGGGTTCGGAGTGAGGGCCACCAGTTGCGCTGGGGTCACTCCTGTTTGGGGCTCCATTTGCGATGGTGCCATTTTGAGAACGTTCTTCTTCCTGGTATGGTTTGGGGTGCAAGAGGGATTCCACGATTGGTGTAATGTATGCTTGCAATGGCTCGGTCATGGTTTCAGCATTACAGGATGTCTGGTTGAACATTATGGTTGCAGCATCCTTGGCCTGATTGACTTGAGTGGAGAGGCCTAGAAGAGACAGTTTGGCCTGATCGCGTACACTGTCAGGGCCGATGGCGTCCACCCAGGATTTGAGTTGATGGGCAATGGTTCGAGAGCCCCATTTTGTTGCTACCGAGGAGCTATCGGTCTCACTGGCGGGGTAGAGGCCTTCGTACAGAATGTCGCATACCTCTTTGCCGAAGATTGGCAGACATGGGTAGAACTCTGCCTCAGTGGCATCGTCGTGGGGTTTAAGGCCGACACCATTGTCTTCGTCATTCGGTGGGGTAATGTCATCCCATTGAGCCAATTTCTCTGTGCGCTTGCCAAACACATTCTTGGGATCTACAATGGTAACTAGCCAGGTGTCTTGATGTTCAGTGCGATCGCCCAGTACTCCGATGAATTTGCCCGGCCCTAGGAGGGCCGAATTTCGGGGCGCATTTGGGATGTCGTCTCTGGTCGGTGCTGTAAGGATGCAGGTGAGAAGTTCAAAGTTTCCATTGCCTGTGTTGACTAGGAGGACCATCGGTCCATTTTTGTCTTGGTCGCCATGCTTTCGGAGGATTTCATTGAGTTCGGCCGCAGCCTCTGTGGCTTCCATGTGGCCCTCCTTCATGAAATCGTACCAAGCTTCGAGTTGTTGGTCGATATTCTCTTGGGTGACGGTTGGCATGTTTTGGATAGCAGACTTGAGGTTTTTGAGTTCTTCAGGTTCTTGGGCCTTCTGCTCTTCTTGTGCCCTTTGGGCTGCTTTGGCTTGGCGAAGTCTCCACATGGCTGGGGCAAGTGTGGGTCCAAACGCACTTTGTGTAGGCTTAAGTACCGAGCAACCCAAATAATTTTGTTTTGGGCTTGTTTGAGTCTCTGAATCCCTGTCTTCTTTGTTTTCTCTTGGTTCTATGTGTGGGCAACAGACAGAAATTACCGGTGGGTGTCCTTGGGCCTCGGTTTGCAAGTACAGGGAGGGTCACTGTGGTGGCCGCTCGCCGGTCACGAGGACAACTGTTCTTGCTCAAATCTGCTGCTGCTGATCCGATTTCTGCTGTTGTTGTTGTCTTGCTGTTCAGGAATGGTTCAGATGTAGCTGTGGCGTCTTGTCTAAAGTCAGAAGGCGCACAATCCAAGTTTCATTGCAAATCTGTGGCTCATTCGCTCGGCTCTTTGTCTGTCACAACCTTCACTTGGTTGTTGCGGCAAAGGATCGAGAAAAGAATGGCTGAGAAGGGTCTGTGACTGGTTGAGTCACTAATGAAGTGGGACTGGATGCAGGCCTAGCATGCACAGGGAAGATATACATGCCTTTGAGCTAACAAAACTATACAATGCCCAGCAACACCACAAGCCCTATTTTCTTACAGGCTTCCTCTGCACAAAGAGGATTTGAATGACCACGGTTTGCTATTGGGACATGTATGTGGACGATCAGAAGGCCAACATTTTTCCTTCGATAGAGCTGCTGATCATGACAGTGCATAGCCCTTTGAATCAAAAGGCAAGCTGAGAATCGCATTCCTCTGCAAATTTGGGAACACTTCTCTCGAACACTGCTTCCGAACACTTCTCCTGAACACTTCTCCCGAACGCTTTCAGTATTGTCAAGTATTACTTCAGAATTATCAGTGCATACCAGCATGAAGTCCCCGAACATTTGGAAAAAACAACAACAAAATCTTTATAACGGATATGGCCCCAATGGACGGATCATCACTGTGCTGCAGCCGAAGCTTTGGGTAACCGCTCCCGGCCGAAGCGGGGATTGGTTTCACAGGAGACCACCACTGGTTCCCTCACCGGCACCACACTCCCTAGGGAGATGGTGCATTTAAAGTACATGTAAGTATAAATGCATATCTCGTGTGGATTTGCCGGACATATATTCCTAACTGTTTGTGGGTTTGGCCGAATGGATTCAGGGAGAGTTACTTTGGGGGTTGGATGGAGGGAGAAAAGGAGGGGCGGAAGCGGACGCAGGAGGGAATTGGAAGGATGGGAAGTGGAGGTCCTGCATCAATTACCAGTCTCAAGCTGTGTGCGTACTCTCTTCAGGACTGGTTCCCAAGTGTTGATCCATTGTGGATTGATGCGTGGGCCATTGGGATCTGTGTTGATTGGTGTTTGGAGAAGCATGCCTGTTCCGTTCTGAGTTTTCCGGTGTATTTGTCATATAGCAGCTGAAGTTCATGTATAACCTGTCGGTTGGCTGCCTGTGCCTTGGTTTGTGCGTCTTTGCCATGCCGATCATGATTCCTTGCCTCCCAGAGTTCGAACCACTGGTTGAGCAATTCTTGAATAATCCCTGTGAGCCAGGTTTGGCCATTTTTCCGATGTGTTTTTAGATTGCATTCCTTAAGGTGTTGATCTGGCGTTGCGCCCACTTTTGGATAGTCGTCCCTTGAGGAGCTGATCCAACCGATGGCTGCTGGCGGTTTGCGATTATCGGCAACACTGTTCATCGTATTCAATTCCTGTGGTATCTTCTCCATCGAGTACTTTTTGGAGTGCTGAGAGAAGAAGTGTTGTAGCATTGGGTGAGTGTTTGTGCTTGTCGGTGTATTGCTTGAGTGCCTTCTTCCATGCCGTTCGTTCTGATTGTCTCTTGGGGCATCTCAGGACGTGTTCTCTGTTTTCTTCTGGGCACCACAGGATGCGCATGAATGGGATATTTGGGGTGGTATTTGTTGACACGTTTACCGACGGGGCGCCAATTGCAAAGGTACTTGGTGAGGGAGGTGCGATGGTGATCCAGCATTGAGTGCCCTCCCATTGCATTTCCAGTCGATATCTTCAAATGTGTCGCTGTCCCCTCTCATGTTTATTCATGAGAAACTGTTTGTGTTGAGGCACCGATCCTGCCAGTTTGTTGTTCGTGTTTCAGATTGTGTGATGGTTCCACCTGGAAGATTGAGCTGACACCCACTCGGTGGAAGAATTGGGACTTGTGTGTGGTCAAGTTTGGGTGGTCCACCAACCATTGTGTTGGCTAGGCCTCGGCGTCGTACATTGAGTTGGCTTCCAGCTTAATTCATCATATGGTTTCTCTCGTCCTGATGGCCTTTGATGTGTTTGATTTTAGGGATGGATGTGGCCGGTTGGATTTGTTGTAGATTTGTCGAATTTGGCGAAAATGTCCCACTAAGCGGATAAGGTACTGTTTTGAAAGATCCTGTGAATTTGGAGTATCTCTTTTTTCACTTTGACCTCAACCATTGATTTGTTATCACAGAAGCAGCCATTGCCTGTGGACTTGGGTATGTTGTGGATGTGAATTCGTTGTATGTGGTGGAGGAATCTGAAATACCGGACAACATCCCAGTATCTCTTCGGCTCGGTATGAGTTAAGTTGGTAACCAAATGCCTGGACCGTTGCACTGAGCCCTAGCGGGTACCTTGGGGGTACGCTGAGGATCCACCCGAAAGAATCCCTTACCATCGGAGCTGACCCCACTCACAGAGCCAGCAATGCGAATGACTTTCACGTAGCAAGATGTCCAAAGACGTACAAGGTTCGGGAACCAGAAAGTAGTAGAGTACCCGGAGCTAAATGCTGTTTCCCAGGCTCGTCAAACAGTTAGGAAGAGCAAATGTGTGTATGATGATGTGTGTGTTTTTCCATTGGCTGCCTGGTTGCCTGTATGAGCATTCTCATACCCGCGTCATTTGAAGTGTATAGGTCTCACCTTGTAATCAACATTCGGTGGCCAAGTGGCAGTTTCAGTGGAGATGTTGACAAATGCCAGAAGGTGTATGGTCGAAATCGTTTAAATTGGATTGTCCTTGATTGAATACGGTCCATCCCTCGGGAGTTTGACAATACATGTGATCGGGGATTTCCGTGTCGGATCCAGGTTCGTATTCTCTCTC